GTCCTCACTGTCAGGAAGTTTCTCCTTAATTCCAGGTTGCTTCTCTCCTTGAGAAATTGAAGATCCCAAAAGGTGGCAATACCAAATTCTTTTGGTAATGGTATCATGAAAACAACATGGATGTTGCCTGATTGGAAATGTCAGAATTGACCTGGGCTCAAAGGAGACTTCTACTACTTAGAACTTACAACACAATAGCCACTTAGTGGGTTTCCTTGAAGACACAGTGGCTATTTACATCCTAACAACAGGGAACACAATAGAGAAGATAGTTAGTGTGGGATCTTAACTCTTTTTCAGAGAATCGGTACTAATTCATTCCATGCAGGAGTTGGAGAATTGTTATTCATTACTTGCTCAAATGTTAGCATTTGAGTTGTGGCAAATATTGCATTTTCCCAACACTCCAAGCACAGTGGTCTGCTTTTGGGAAAACATGATTTGCTCACCAGGAAGTGTCTTGCTTGGATTGTCTGGAATTGTGGTTAAGAATCCTAGCTGCCTGATTGTGTCCACGCTCGGGCTTTACAATCTTGTGTAATTCCCACTGTATTTAGTGGGGTTCGTATCCAAATAACCATGCTTGTCCTTTGGGCCTTGAAGATATGCTGTGTGCATCACAGCACAATAGCTCTGTATATTTCAATTTAAAAAGACTACGACTTCTTAGGCTTGAAAGTGGGGTAACTTTTGGGCCAGCCGCTCTCTCTATCCAACCCACCTCAAAGGGCTGTTGTGGTGGGGAAAATAGGAGGCAGGAGTGTTAGGTATATTCATCCTTTTCAGCGAGTGAGTAAGCGTGAGAGAGAGATGATAGAGAGGATAGATGATAGATAGATAGATAGATAGATAGATAGATAGATAGATAGATAGATAGATAGATAGATAGATAGATAGATAGATAGATAGATAGATAGATAGATAGATAGATAGATAGATAGATAGATAGATCATAGGTAGAGATGATATATATATACATAGAGATGATAGAGATATATATAGAGATGATAGATAGAGATAATAGATAGATGATAGACAGATAGATGATAGATAGATAGATAGATAGATAGATAGATAGATAGATAGATAGATAGATAGATAGATAGATAGATCATAGGTAGAGATGATATATATATACATAGAGATGATAGAGATATATATAGAGATGATAGATAGAGATAATAGATAGATGATAGAGAGATAGATGATAGATAGAGAGATGATAGATAGATAGATAGATAGATAGATAGATAGATAGATAGATAGATAGATAGATAGATAGATCGATCGATCATAGGTAGAGATGATATATATATACATAGAGATGATAGAGATATATATAGAGATGATAGATAGAGATAATAGATAGATGATAGAGCGATAGATGATAGATAGAGAGATGATAGATAGAGAGATGATAGATAGATAGATAGATAGATAGATAGATAGATAGATAGATAGATAGATAGATAGATAGATAGATCATAGGTAGAAATGATATATATATACATAGAGATGATAGAGATATATATAGAGATGATAGATAGAGATAATAGATAGATGATAGAGAGATAGATGATAGATAGAGAGATGATAGATAGATAGATAGATAGATAGATAGATAGATAGATAGATAGATAGATAGATAGATAGATAGATAGATAGATCGATCATAGGTAGAGATGATATATATATATAGAGAGAGATGATAGAGAGAGAGATATAGAGATGATAGATAGAGATGATAGATAGATGATAGAGAGATAGATGATAGAGAGATAGAGAGATGATAGAGAGATGATATAGATAGATATAGATAGATAGATAGATAGATAGATATGATATATAGAGAGATGATAGAGATATAGAGAGATATAGAGATGATAGATGATAGATAGATGATAGATAGATGATAGAGAGAGATGATAGAGATGATATAGAGATAGATGATAGAGAAATGATAGATAGACAGACAGATGTGTGTAAGAGAGAGAAATGATACATATTTTTCAAAAAAATTAAAGGGCAGCACAAAAATCTGATAAGCATAATACAAATAGCTTTTTAAAAACTAATAGGACTAATCTATTCACCATCCCATCCAATTCCATTAATTTACGAATACAGTAAGATAATCCATGCAGGATTTATCCTCCTGTATTCCTTATTTAACTACTGAACCACTGAAATCTTTACCAAACCTGGCACGGAGGCCCATGTTATAGGTTACAATTGTTATGTCCAACCTAGGATAACGGGTAAAGCTGAAGAATTGAAATTCATTACTTCATGGCTGAGCTGCCATTTTCATCCGTTCGCTGCTTTCGCTAAAGGGGGAAAAAAAAAGTGTGCGCATGTTTTGTTCTCTCAAAATGTCCACAGTTGTTTTTTAACCGTGCCATAATAAACAAATGAACTGGAGCAAGAAGTACAGGCTGCTTTTGACCTTCACAGTCATGCAATTTCATTTCGAAACCACTCTTCCAAACTCAAGTAATGATGAAAGATGAGACAAGTCAGGATGAAATACTTCCACATCTTTTAGACACTCCTTTCCTTTCAGAAAAAGAAGTTGCAGGATTAATTCATTGTAGGGGAAAGTCCAAAATTGGATACTTCAACATTTTTTTTAATAAAGGAAATCTAATTATTAAGTGGTAAACTGAATGAGATGACAATGGAGCAACAGGTTAAACTATGAATTAGAGTAATAACGTCTGGTCAAAAGAGATGAGTGTCTAAAAGTCCTCCTCCAAAGTCAGTTGTGTGTGTGTTTGTGTGTGTTTGTGTGTCCTCCTCCAAAGTCAGTTGTGTGTTGTGTGTTACACAAACACAAGAGCAGCAATTGCTCAGAAAAACATGTACTACACTCTAGCTTCTCTGAACCTCTTATTCTAACTTCTCAAGACAATAACACAGTTGACCATAACCTGGAAGTTTAAAGGATGTTGGGGACACAGATCAGAATTTTTATGCTTGCTTATGATTTTTCAAAGGAAAGAAAAAACACTGTGGAAGACAATGTCTTGATATTTGGACTGGATTATTCCAACTGAATAATCATGAGAAAGGAATATAGCTAAAAAGGAAAATTCTGAACCCACAAAAGGCAGACAAAGGAAATGGGGGTTCTGAGAAGGTCCATCTGCAACTTGGCTGTGAAAAACATGCCACAGATGGCACCTGGAGACCTGCCAAGCCTATTCTGCCATCTCAGTATTAACAGCTTGGTGAATCCCCCTGGGTCATATAAGCCTAGCCACCATGGGTTTGAAACGACAATACTTGAAGGGCAGAAGGAAGAAAAACATGTCAGCTAAAATGTTTATATCAGTGCATCCCAACCTTGGCAGCTTTAAGATATGTGGACATCAACTCCCATAATTCCCCAACCAGCCATGAGAATTCTGGGAGTTGAAGTCCACATATCTTAAAAGTTGTCAAGGTTGGGAAACACTGGTTTAGATGAACATGGAGGCTAGATTGGTTAGAAGTATAGCTGTAAAGAAAGGTGAGGTGAGGTGAAGTGAGGTGAGGTGAGGTGAGGTGAGGTGAGGTGGGGAGAGGAGAGGAGAGGAAAGGACACAGGTATGTGAGTTGAATAGAATATCAAAGTCATAAACAGTTGATTGAAAGAGACAGTGTGTGTCATCTCTTTATATCATTTATTGTGCTCTCATTTTGTACATTGAATTATTATCTGGAATTCAGCTCAGCACTTAAAGTACTTTTTTTTTTTAATGTCTCTACAGCGGTTCAAACTTCAGAAAACTCTGGAATTGTGCCTTACACAAATGCATCAGGTAGTATTTATTATATCAACATTTAGTTGGCTTAATCACTGCCTTTAACTGGGACTCCTAGCTCATAGCTAAAAACAAATAAGCCGTTCCTTTCAGTTCTTAAAGGAAGAATGATTAAGAAAAAAACAGGAGGAGGAGGAGGAGGAGGAGGAGGAGGAGGAGGATTTTTTTGATATGGGTCAGTAGGATTGAGCCCTGTTCGGGATGAAATGAAAAATAAAGTAGGATTCCAGGAAAAAATAGAAAGCAAGAATGCAAAACTAGCACATTCTTGAGAAAGAAATCCAGTAGAGGATTTAGATTAGCAAAATTATTGCAGGAATGAAATTTTTGAAGAGATGAAGGCAGCTCGTAATAAGCTGCCACCAATAGATCAAGTTTACTCTGAAGCTAGGTCTCAGCTGGTACTTAAGTGCCAAATTCCATCATTGGGGCTGTCATAGATTTGTCGTGGGTTATGCCATTCTGGATTAGCATTTATATCTAATTTCGATATAGGGAAAAAATGAATAGGGTAGTTGGTAAGACAGAGGCGCCTCAGTGGCCACACAAGAAATGGAAACCAATGTGTCTGAGAGGCACCTGAGGGAGGATAAAATTAAGAAGAGACATGTCAGCTTCCTTCAGACATGTTGGAGTGCAGGATTTGAACAGATGTGTGGAAAGTGCAGAGTTCCTGCAACACGGAGGAAGGCAGATGGGCTTGGAGGTATAATGGGTCCTCAGAGACCTTCCTTGGTGTGTCCTGGACTTCCTGCCTCATCTGACTTGTTAAAGAAAAATTCATTTTTTTAAAAATGGAAGCTAGTATATTGCAAAATAAAGCACCCGTCTCTAGCTTCATATATATTTCCCAGAATGCCTTTGGGCCACACCAAGAACTCACAAGGGTCAAGAGAAGTCATCTGTGTCTGGATGATGTTGAGATGTCTGATCATAGACATCTTGGTGGCCATTTTGTGAACCCATCCTACGTCACCTTCTCACAAGCCCAATCCTAGGAGACCATGTAATCACCTCAAAAATAGCCTGCCCCTACTAGCCTTACCTTCTGGGTGGGGGGTGGCTAGACCAGAGGACCTCTGAGATCCCTTCCTCAGATCCAAAACGATCTCTGTTCTCTTCTTGTTGTTGTTTTGGTGTTTTTGTATACAGATGAAGTGCAAATCCTGGCTCAGCAGAATGTGAAGCCCGGAGATGAGCAGTAGCTACTGCAACAACGTTTCAGTGAGCATGAGTGTCAACGAGGTGTCCGGTTTCCCACTGACCCTGGAGCAGAAAACCGGTTTCGCCTTTGTGGGGATCCTGTGCATCTTTCTGGGGCTTTTGATCATCCGGTGTTTCAAAATCTTATTGGACCCCTACAGCAGTATGCCCTCCTCCACTTGGGAGGGGGAGGTTGAAGGACTGGATAAAGGGACATTTGAATATGCTCTTGCATGAGACAGAATCCCTCCAAGCGTGTCCTGCCTTAATCCTGATTTATTTTTCCCCCCTCTGAAGCGGTGGAATTCGAAACAGGAGGCCTTTTGTAATTGACACCCATGTTCGGAAGCTGTGGCGGCAGCCTTTTTTTGGGTTAAATAAAGCTTTGTGGCAGACTCTTACATCATTCGATGTGTTTTGTTTTGTTTTTTGACCGGGAGACGGTTCCGGGGGGTCTTCACTTGGAGAACAAAAAGGGAAGAAGAGAAATCATTTGCAAATTCGCTATGAGTAGAAACACACAAAATAACAGAATTTAACAGAATAAGAGGGTGGGAAGGTACCTTGGAGGTCATCTAGTCCAACCCCCTGCTCAGGCAGGAAACCCTATATTGCTCCAGACAAGTGGCTGTCCAGTCTCTTCATAAAAAAAATCAGGGATGAAGCACCCATAACTTCTAGAGGCAGGTTGTTCCACTGGTTAATTGTTCTCACTGTCAGGAAATCTCTCCTTAGTTCTAGGTTGCCTCTCTCCTCAATTAGTTTCCATCCGTTGCTTCTTGTCCTGCCTTCAGGCGCCTTGGAGAATTTAATAGTTTAATTCCAGCATAGAGCTGCTTCTTAAGACACATCCAAGCTTAGAGCTCAAGGGATGGAAAGCAGGCCTTACAACTGATTTTATTACCCTTTATTGGGTAGAGTCAAATCTCCCCATTTAGTTGAAGAATATTATTTAGTCACCAGAAGAGTTTCTCTTACACCTCCACCTTAGAGGTAGTCATCGACTTAACGATCGCAATTGAGAGCAGATATTCCGTTGTTAAGGAAGGCAGTTGTGAAATGAGTTGTGCCTGGTTGTTTTTCGTCACAGGTCTTAACCGAATCACGGCAGCCGTCATGTGAATCATGCAGTCGTTAAGCAAATCCAGCTTCTCCCAGTCGGAAGCCGGATGGAAAGGTCACAAACGGCAATCCCGGGATCCCGGGATGCTGTAACCATAGCAACACATTCCAGTTGCCAAGCCCCCAAATTTTGATCACATGACCATGGGGATGCTGCAGTGGTCCTAAGTGCAAAAACAATTGCAAGTCCCTTTTTTCAGCGCCATTGTAACTTTAAACGGTTGCTAAACGAAGGTTTGCCAGTCAAGGACCAAATATCGTATTTGGCATATTGTGTGTCATTAACTGGGATTAATTTGGTTTAAGTTTCATTTTAACTTGAACTTAGCCTCTCCTACTTCTTCCTGCCCTTACTTTGCAGAACATAACCCAACAAGACGATCCTTGATCTGAAAAAGATTGTATTCTCTTTGCCTACACCGATAGTCCTCGCCTTAGCGACCACAACTGAGCCCAAAATTTCTGTTGCTAAGTGAAACAGTTGTTTAAGTGGATTTTTGTCCCATTTTACGACCTTTCTTGCCACAGTTGTTAAGCGAATCCCTTCAGTTATTAAATTAGTAACACAGTTGTTAAGTGAATCTGACTTTGTTGACTTTGCTTGTCAGAAGGTCACAAAAGGATTGGATGACCCCAGGACTCTGCTAAATGAACAAATTTTGATCATGTGACCACGGGGATGCTGCAATAACCGTGTGAAAACAGTCATAAGTCACTTTTTTCAGTGCTGTTGTAACTTCAGACGGTCACTAAATGGACTGTTGTAAGTCATCCCATCACGATAGGAACATACAAATCCTTTCCAAGAAATATAAAACACAAAGAAGCATGAGATGTAGAAAGAACTCTTCTGGAATCGTTAAGACAGACACAACTTTTTCCAAGTAAGGCACAGAGAGACATTAACGCGTCCAACTTCAAGGTCACCTCTTTGCTCACAGAGATGAGGAGCAGAAGTGACAATACCGCTTTTGACAGCCCTTCTATTCCATTTTAAGGACCGCTGGAACCAACATTTCATTTTAACCCTGTTAAAGTGTGCTGTAAGAACTATTCAGATAAGGCCAATCAACTCAGACAAATCACTCCTCATCTCTATAATTTAATATTGTGCCATTTGCTTTATAGTCTAGACAGATGTGACACACTAAGGCAATTGTGATTCTGTCAGCTAAATGAAACGCCACTCAAATCGAACCAGAATTTACAAGAAAAGCCAAGAAGAACGTATAGTTCCAAAAATAGAGTCAGATGAAGCCAGAAATATGGATACAGTGGAACGTGGTTCTCTTTCACAGCACACACAAAATGTACACCTATTTGTCTGCCCATTCCTACAAATGCTTAGATTTCTGAATGGGATTTTAGTAATATATGCATTTGACAAGCAACTTCCTTGAATATGTTTTGTCTAATCTTTCTCAACTAATGTAAACAACCTAGAATTTAAGGAGGAGCTAGAAAACATCTTTTTTATATATAAATAATCAAATAAGAACGATTTTGTGTGGATTTGCAACTAGTTAACTGCATTTTCGTACACATTTTTTAAGTTGAAGAACTATGTTTCAGGATTTGAATCCACAACATTTATAATATAAGACAAAATTATTTTACATAATATTTGAGATGTCAGAAGACAATTGTGACAATAATCTGTAAATGAAACTTTGGAGCAACAGGAAATCCTTCTTCACTATCTATTTTTCAAATCTAATGCAAGAATAATAGTTATAATTCTTTGTGCACATGAATTTAAAGAGCAAAAGTCACTGAACTAATTGTAGTAGTGAATTAACTGGCACAGGATTGCAGTATGATTCTCTTTCTGATCATTGATTCTAGATTTGACCTTGCATTTGTGTGATACTAAAAAGAACCTATAAATATCCAGCATTGTCACGATGGCCATAGACGTATCTCCTAATTGAAACAACCATAAAAATAAATTTGATTCTGCTGCTTTTTAATTACTGTCATCTCTGTTCAAATATTTTTAACATTTTATATTACATGATTTAAATGGTGCCTGGCTGGCTAAATTTAAACTATTTAGTTATATTTGATCATTTTTAAACTTGCCATTTATCAGCAAAGTTCAAATCAATAGCAATATTTGAGAGTCAAAATATGAAGCGTTTGCAATCATAATTATTCTGTCCTATTGTTGAGGCAACATTTGCTCTATTGCTGTCCATTTTTCATTTATTTATTAAACAAATGTGTATGGTCACCCATCTGTCAGAAGGAATTTAACATTGCATTGGTACGCCCAATTGGAATTATCTGCAAAAAAAATAAAAATCAAATTTTTACTGAAGCAAACATTTTTTGATTCAAAACACATTGCTAAACCGAGCCTGGAGAATAATGGTTAGCAACGACCTTGCTCTGTGCTTCAAGGGTAAAAATAAAAATCAAATGTATTGGCATGAATATTTAAGGACTTTTTCACACTGCTGCATCAAAGTTATTTCAGTAGCGCATGACTGCTTGGGAATATGCTGTTGCTGTTTCATCTGTCATTTATAAACTTAAAACAGTGGCAGTTAAGATTTTGATGAGTATGTAAATGACTTTCATTAGAGCCACTGGCTTTCAGCTAGAGACCAATGCTAGCTTTGGCTCCTACCATTCAAGTATTATTGAGTTCATTACAAGGTAATATTTAACAAACTGAAATATTCCTCTGAACAGGGCTAGGACGGATGTCTTCTGAATTCCGGGATTGGCTGATTCCCTTGCTAATTTATAGAGAAACCAGTAAAATATGGTCCACAGTGAAAGATGCTTAAATTTCACCCCAAAATAAGAAACAAACGGCTGCTTCATTTAACAGAGCACCAGTAGCAGCTAAAACTACCTTGGATATGGTAACTGACTTTATGCCTAGTTTGAATATACTTCAAGAAGAACAGCTGAAGCAAACAGGCGCCTGAAAATACACTTTCTGCCAATAGTTGGTTAAGAGGTAAGGTTTTTAATGTATTTAATTTCTAGCTAGGATTACAAGTTGTTCCTAATTTATGTTTGAAAATCTGTTCCCTATTCGGGAAAACAGCTCATCCATAACAAATAAACTTTTTACAGGGAGAGCCAGACCACGTTTTCGCATTTTAAAAAATCCCAACAATTGAATTAGTAACAATTGAATTAGTATAAGTTATACCAATCAACATCTTGAGAAAATGGCTTCACTGATGCATAGGCTGTTGCTAAAGTACAATTTTTATCATGTTTAAATTTGCACCATATGTTCAGAGACAAGCTGGATGTTTGAATATTCACACATGTTCTAGAAATATGAATGTGGGCATTTGTGTGTGGTAGTAAGTTTATAACAAGCAAACTAGTGTAAGTTTTATATTCCTTCCCCCCCCCACTGCTTGGGTGTCAGATTAAAATATAAGATTGATACCCTCTTATATTTTTCTTCTCAATCTTCTGTTTCCAATGGTTGCTTATAGTCTTCAGCTTAATAGCTTACAAATCAGACATAAATTTCATTTTACAGAAGAAGGTATGGAAGAAAATTAAATCTCTTTTTAATTAAGAGCAGCAGTAGAAATATTGTGCAGAACAACTGATAGTCAGCATTTGCTACCAGCGTTTTTTGCTCTTTAAATTCATTTTGAGTGGGAAAAATGGATACCCACATCCTTTCATCACTTTCTTTATCACATCTTCTCTGTTTTACATTGTCAATAATAATTTTTTTGGGGGAAAAACAACATTATTACATGTATTTGAATTTCAAGGAAACTGTCGTCTGGATAAACAGAGGGTGGGAACGCTGGATGGACAGGTGAATGGACCATCTTTCAGTTTTAAATTCAGTTAAAACAACATCAATTAATTTTTAAAACTGCTTCCCCAAAGTCTTGGACTTCTTCCGGATTCATTCATAAGCATTTACCGTACAATTTAGGAACATCCAGATCGCGAGAAGCTGAAAAATACAGCTGTTCTTTCCTCCTTAACCAGTTTCATCATTTTAATAAAAATAATCAGGTAATCTACGTGGGTTGTAACTGTGGAGGGTACAGATTGCTCTCAGTGACTGAGTACATTTGACTGAAGCAATCAGCACAAAGTGGGACTCACTAATGTGTACTAACCCCTTGACACTAAACTGAGACAGAAAATGGAAGGAAGTAATAAAAGAACATTGTAAGTCAAGGGCTACCTGTAATGAGACTGATGTGTGTAAGGGATTTATATATATATATATAAATAATAATAATAATAATAATAATAATAATAATAATAATAATAATAATAATAATAATAATAGTTGGAAGGGACCTTGGAGGTCATCTAGTCCAACCCCCTGCTCAGGCAGGAAACCCTATACCATTTCAGACAAATGGCTGTCCAGTCTCTTCTTAAAAACTTCCAATGTTGGAGCACTTACAACTTCTGGAGGCAGGTTTTCCATTGGTTAATTGTTCTGTCAGGAAGTTTCTCCTTAGTTCTAGATTGCTTCTCTCCTTGATGAGTTTCCATCCGTAGTTTAGACAAACGATCACTGAAAAATTCTCCCCAATTAGCACTTCCTGTCTTCTCTGTTTTAAACCTAAATCTACATTCGTTCCTATAATGCAAAATACCTTTTCTCTCCATGCTATTTCTTCTAGTTAGTTTCTATTGCAAAAAAAAAAAAAGTCCTTAGGAGAAAAAAATAATGAAAAGTAATATTTGGGTGAGAAATTCAAGCTTTAGCTTCTGTCCTTTTTTATTATTATTACGGTGCTTTAGAAATTATTTTGGGACTGGAAGAAATAAACTGACCCCTCAAATTAAAACGGCTCAAGCATTAACTAAACCCAATGTTGAAGATCATAGCACTCTAAAAAAAATGCTGTTCCCCTCCTATTTTAATTGCTAGTCATCTAATTTTATAATACCAGAATGCTACTCGTTAACTGTTGACTAACATTAATCAGTAATGGATCCAGGCTTCTATTTCATGTATTTCAAGGTGCAATCACCCCCTTTGCGTATTTCACTATCATTATAAAACAAGAACATATTGTAAAAGAAGTACAAAATGAGTTCTTGGTTTTAAACAGTCAGCAGGTAAAATTTTTCATAGTCTTTTACTACTGTAAAATGGAAGAGCCGTGGTGGTGCAGTGCTTAGAACACAGCATTGTGGGCTAACTCTGCTCACTGCCAGCCGTTCGATCCGGACCGGCTCAAGGTTGACTCATCTTTCCATCCTTCCGAGGTCGGTAAAATGAGAACCCGGATTTTGGGGGGCAATATGCCGACTCTGTAAACCACTTAGAGAGGGCTGTAAAGTGCTAAGTACTATTGCTATTGTTGTTAGCCATTATAATTTAGCTTAATGTTTAGAGATAAATTAGCTCTTTTTAAAAAAAAAAATATCCTGTGTTTGAAGGCAGAGTGAACAGCTTATTTTCACGTACAGCAGAGAACGTGTGTAGACGTGGCTCCTGAGTGAAACACAGCGGGTCACCTAGACAACTCAACAACTGCCTGCTGAAAATATCTGACAACACAGAATAGCGATATCGGCGAAGTAAAGACCAGTTATCCACAAAATATGTCTATGAATAATTCTCCAAACATATTTTTGGACCCACGTTTGAATAGATTTCAGGTGAATGTCATTAATGAAAGCCATGAGAACTCAATTCAATCTCAAGGAGACCCCGATCCACATTACGAAGAGACTTCTTTCGCTAAAGATGTCACCAAGAGACTCCGCATCAGCTACAAGTCTGGAACTCAAGAAACCTACGACCGTTTGTTCCAAAATGGTGACACTGCTAAAACAGATGGAAGCTTTCATCCCTATGACACGCAAAGTAACACCTATTATCTAAAAACGTTTGGCCATAATACCATGGATGTTGTGCCCAAGATTGATTATTACCAGAATACTGGAAGCATCAGAGGGGTCAAAATGAGCCGGCCAAGTCTGATGGATATTCACGAACACATGGCAAAGGTATGTCAAAAGAAATTAAGGAAAACATGAGTTGGCCTTCCCTAAACAGACAGAAGGAAAAGCATTCTTAGGAGTCCTACAAATGTGTAAAGACCTAAGGGTTCCTTCTTCCAGGATACTTGTAACTTGCACAAGTATAATTATGGAACATAAACCATCTAAGATTGATTTTTTTTCTTCCAAACATTTGCTGTATTTGATGCCCCACTCTTGGCGTTCGTCCTCGTGATGTCTTAATCAATTATGGAAAACACCCTACATTCAGCCCCAAGACAAGGAAGTTAAAAACATTTACATTTTGCCTCCTGAAATCATGTTTGTTCAAAAGGAACTCATTGTTCAAGGTTGCCAAATGGAGGCACATAAAATTGCAGCCTTCTGTATTCAGAGATGTAGGGTTATGCCAGTTTAGCAGGACACGAATTAGCAATTTTTAGAATATGCCTGCTCAGTATAGACATTTTATATAATTATGTGTTGGTGTGTATGTATGGGTATATATACATATACATTGTTTTAGAATAGAATAGAATAGAATAGAATAGAATAGAATAGAATAGAATAGAATAGAATCTGGAAGGGACCTTGGAGGTCTTCTATTTTATGTGTATAAACATATATATATGTGTCTATGTGTACAGTATATGTATGTGTAGCCTTTCCTGCTGCTGTAGTTGCCCTTTGAGATGAGGCTGACCCCAATGCCCTCAAATATTTGCTATTTATTTATCTATGTATTTATCTATTTCTATTTATCTATTTATTATTTTTACAAATAACTCCGGGGGGCGAACATCTCCAATGCACCTGCCTCCTCTTATTTTCCCCTCAACAACCCTGTGAGGTGGGTTGGGCTGAGAAAGAGCGATTGGCCCAAGTTCACCCAGATGGTTTTCATGGCTAAGGCAAGACTAGAACTGGCAAATCTCCCAGTTTCTAGTCTGGCGCTTTAACCACTAGACCAAATTGGCTTTATGCATTCTGTACTTTATATCTTGTCTTAGTTGCACAATATCCTTTTTAGTTTCCTCTTGTTTCTTTTGTCTGTACTTCTTATGAGAAGGGACAAAGAGAGGTAGTCAAACGTATGAACTGACACTGCTCGTCTCTTTACACTTGATGTATTTGAACCTGTAGCTATTATTTTTTTTAAAAAATGAAAAGACATAATTTTACACTTGATACATGCTGCGGGTTGCTCTGCTCCTACGGAATTCCCACCTATAGACAACACCACCCCTTTGTATTGAATCCCAGTAAAACAAGCTATTTTGTTTTAAACTGTCTGATTAGAATATCACGGTGACTTCAGTGGACAAATTCAGTAAAGCAGATGGCAACGCAGAAGAAGCTGAATGCCGCAAGGAAGAAGAAACTAAAGGCATAGTGAAATTTGGATGGATGAAGGGTGTTCTGGTAAGCAGCAGCATTTACCTTGTGACTGTACAAGTACAGAACATCTGCTTTTAAAGTTTAAAAAAGTTGGTAATTCCACACTGCAGACAAAGCAGACAGATACTTCCACTGGGGATTTTTGTTACGAGATTTTCACATCATCCATATGCATGAGGGTGATTTGAAGTAATCCTTTCGTATGACTGAGTTCTTCACATCTCTGTTCTTCTTCTTTTTTTAAAAAAAAAACAACGTTCAAACATTAACATTTTAATTTTTACATCAAAATTTCTACTTTAACCAGGTAATGACTGTTCTATCAGAACAATTCGATTCTAAAGATATTTTATAGAATTTGGGTTCTTTTTTATTTCAAGCTGTGACAGCTTTTAAACTTTTCAATGCATTTTTAATGCATTCATTCTCTTTTTTTTTCAACAGGACTATTTTTGCCCATTTTAAACCTGTTGCGTTCTGCGGTTATAAGTCGATATAATTCTTTTTGTTTAATATTTAGGTGAGATGCATTTTAACTTTTCAAGGCATTCGTTCTTTTTTCACAGAAGTATTTTTTCTCCATTCTAAACCTGTTGCGTTCTGTGGTGATATGTTGATATGATTATTTTTTATTAATATTTAGGTGAGATGCATGTTGAACATCTGGGGTGTAATGCTATTTATTCGTCTTTCCTGGATCATTGGCCAAGCTGGAATTGGTAGGTGGTTTTTTGTTTTGTTTTTTAAAAAAGTAAGGTATAAATTTTTATTATGGCCAGGAGAAACAGTTACTTTAAATTGCTTACATGTTATAGTCTTGAATAATAGCTACCATGGGGATCGAGGTTACTATATTGTCTAGTTTATGGCCTGGGCAAGTTCTACAAAAGAATTGTAAAATATTAGCAAAAAGTATATAATTGAAATATATATATATATATAATTATTTTTAATGAATTGGACAGAAAACTGTCGTAGAATCGTGTATGCCTCTCACATACATAGATATAGATATATAGGTATAGATATGACTATTCCTGAAATGTAAAGAATGTTTCCATTAGTTTTCTACCATAAAAAATGTCTGATAATTCTGGGTAAATCCTGGCCTATTTTCTGTCATCAGTGCTCACCGGTTTTCAAAGAGAAAAGAAGAATCTTCTCGGTGAGCCATAATTTTCCGAAATTCAAGATTAAAATGGTCTCCTCAAAAACAGTTCATTCCAAGCATCTAACTAAGATGGGCTTGTACTATAAAAACTAGCATCAGTGATACAGATTTTCTCCTAAAATGAACAGAATTTCATCCAAGCACTATTTAATTTCTCTCGCAAACAGATTTTAGAGGGATTTTCTAGAATGTTTCTTAGAGGTCTTTGAAAATGTTCTGTGTCCCTAGTCATGGACGCTAGTTTAAAGGGCTGTCCATCCATTTTAGAGCACAAGGAACAGGCAGGAAATAAGCAGATGAAAAGTGGGGAACTTTTGCCCGTCCACACAACTCTACACATTTGGCAATACGCCCGACAAGCGGATGCTTAGGGAGTTTATGATGCATAGCAAATGAAGCCTTGCTGCTGGAAATCCATAGAAGTATGTGCCTCGCCATGCGATTCTGCATATTAACATTGCCAAGACTTTGCTCTGGGGTGTCATGCAAAATTGGGCTCTGGGGTTGTTGGTTTTTTGAATAGTAGCTTAGTAACTTATTACCATCATCAAGGAGCATTAAATTTGTTCTTAGGTATGAAAATAGCTAAGGGCAAGAGTAATTCATTTAAATGTTATTTAATGACCTTGCAACTGGGTTTTTAATCTAAACTTTAATCAGAGCTCAGCCTCAGTCGGTAATAAGAGCAGTTGCAATGAGTCAACACGGCACATTTCATTCTAAAATTATGATTTGCCAGTCATCAAATTTTAAAATGCAGTCTCATCTTCTTGGGGGGGGGGAGGGATAGGAGAAAATAGGTAAAACAGCTTTTTGTTGTTTTTTCTTTTCAGACCATATAAATATATTAAGTACAGGTAGTCCTTGATTTAAAACCATTCGTCTAGTGCAGTGATGGCGAACCTTTTAGAGACCGAGTGCCCAAACTGCAACCCAAAACCCACTTATGCATCGTCGAGTGCCGGGTGGGTGTGGCCCATTGGCTGGGTGTGGCCCATTGGGTGGGCGTGGCTGCGGTGGTAACGGCAGACTGGGTGGGACTAAAAAGTTCAATCAATCAATTCCAACTTTGCAAGATCTTTTTTTTCCCCCGCGAGAAGTTGAAATTGACTGATTGAATCTTTTTTTTTTTTTTTTGCACATGGCAGCGGAGGCCTAAAGTGAAAAGGTTTTATAAAACCCAGCTGAAGGCCTAGGACTGGGGCGATGGCGCGTGTGCCCACAGAGAAGGCTCTGAGTGCCGCCTCTGGCACCCGTGCCATAGGTTCGCCACCACTGGTCTAGTGACTATTCAAAGTTACAACAAAGTTACAGCCTCTCTTTCCCCCCCCTCCCCAGAATTGGGGAAACTCTGTTCTAATATATTGTTAAGTAACTTCAGAAAGAAGTAAATCGATTAGAAATTTATAATGAATGAGCAGGGTTTATAGATGGAGAATCTAGGGCTACACTACAATTATTTTTAAGTGCAACCATTGGCCTTGCTGGTCAGAACTGATGGGAACTGGAGGAAGAGAGAAATGAATGAATGAACCCAGGGGGTTCAATTGATGAATAGAGATATAAATATCCTGGCGTGTAGAGATGCCCATTTTTATTACAATTTAGAAATGTAATCCCACTGTCCCAGCGCTTTGCAGATTATCAAGGCTCTTAATCCTTGTCCCAGTAGCTTATTTAACATTTATATTACATGGATATAAATGGATCTACAGTAAAGACGAGAGAGGAGTTCCTCCAGCAGCAGGGATAAAGATACTTTCTGAGTGAAAAGCGGATTCCTTCTCATTTAAACTGCTCCCTCAGAGAAGCGTTTTTTGAAAAGTTGCAGACCATCAATTATATTTTGTCATCTTCTCCTTGCTGACAGGTCTTGGAGTTATCATAATCCTTCTTGCTACCATGGTTACTTCCATTACTGGCTTATCAACTTCTGCAATAGCAACTAATGGTTTTGTCCGTGGAGGTAAAAAAATAAAATAAATTCTTTAGGGTTTTTTTCCCTTTTCCACAGTGCTCACAAACATCTGAATTAGCTCCCTGTTTATTGTCATATAAGTCAAAGGTTCTCTGCTGTAATAAGCAGCCTAGGTCGCGGTCATCCCTAGAACCAACAGGTGAGTCATACCTGCAACTCAATTAACCTTCTACAATTAATTTGCAAAGACAAAGCCAGGTTCAGTTCACGAAGGTCTCAGACTGATGGAAGAACAAAATCCATTTTTTTTTCTAGATTTATTTTATTTTATTTAAAAAAAAATCAGACTTAAAAATTACAGGTTGCATTTCCTGGAGTGGACTGGACGCGAAGACCATTATTCCTTTCCCGCTAACACTTATTCAAGTTCCCTAAAAGGTATTAATTCATTCTTCTGCTTTTTTAAAAAATATCTGTTTATACACTATCCACGAGAACACAGGCAGTCTGCGCTGATGGAAGCAGGATCCACAGTTCTTGACAGGTATTTCTTTAAATTCTGATGAATCAAGAGTGTGTTATCGGCTAATTGTCAGCTCCAGTCGCCTTTCCCCTTGAGTGATGGCTTCTTATCCAAGGAAACCTATTCGTGGATTTTAAAGTAAATGATATAACCAAGGTACTTGGGTCAAAGATCTCTTTTGGGACTTTTTCAGGTCTTGGAGTTGTCGTTATTTCCCTGAGTGTGGTTGTTACAACCTTAACAGGTATTTCCATGTCTGCCATATGTACCAATGGAGTGGTAAGAGGAGGTAAGTCCCAATAAAGGAGAATATTTGTAGCTCAGGGTTGAAATGAGGGGTCCTTGGTGCTCTCTGAGCTTGGTGGTTTTCTTGCAGACGTTTCATTACCCAAACTAGGTAACATCATCAGTGTTAGGAGGGAGAGGAGGAGGAGGAGGAGGAGGAGGAGGAAGACAACTGTGGGTCCTTGGTGATCTCTAAGCTTGGTTGTTTTCTTGCAGACATTTCATTACGCAAACTAGTAACATCATCAGTGGGAGGAGGAGGAGGAGGAGGAGGAGGAGGAGGAGAGCTGTGGGGTCCTTGGTGCTCTCTGAGCTTGGTGGTTTTCTTGCAGACATTTTATTACCCAACTAGGTAACATCATCAGTGCTACTGAAAAGTCTGCAAGAAAATCACCCAGCTCAGAGCATCAAGGAGGTAGGTACATTTGCTGTTAGAATAGAAATTATGGTTCCTTCTGGACGAACTATCACCCAATAGATGGGCACAGAACTAAAATATAGTAGAAAGCCATATGAGTCATAAAGAAACATTTCTGATATAAAGAGGAGGATGGCAACTTAGAAGGCCTGTAGAAGCAAAAAGTAAAAAAAAAAAAAAAAAAAGAACAGCGAATACTCTCCAAATCTTTAAATGAGCTGAATCGGTGAGGGTTTAAACGTCTGTTTAAAGTAATGGTGAAATTACTTTCCATTGCAAAAAAGCAGGCTTAGATGATGTAGCTGAATAATATGTTGAAAAATAAATTAAATTAAGGGAAATTGCTCCTGTCTGAAGTGTACTGTATAGGAAGAGGTTTAAATTACTTTCTTATCTGCTGCCCTGGCTTAGTTCTCATTATCTTTAACCAGCATGAAGATGCTCGAGCATTGAAATCATGAGTGACTACTACGTCTTTAAATGTTTTTCAACACCGTACCTTATGAAATCCAAAGAATCTGACATGGCCTGTTGCATGCTGAAATGCAAGGATTTGCACAGGAGATTGTGCTCCTGCAGACGCGCAGAGAATTACTTTCTATCTCATCTCTTTGTCTTTCCTAAATCTAGTGTTGTAATTCTATTGAACATAAAGAGATGATTGTGAACAATTTACATACAGAAATTCTATGGAGCCACCTTGAGAAGACAGATGGGGAATGCTTTCCTATGTTTTGACATATGTTCCCATTCATCTGAAGCTCGTTACGCTTTATACGGAACGCGTTAAAATTAAAATAGCGAAAACTTTTAAAAGGTCGAGCAGATTTCGTTAACTTTCCGCATATTCTGAGGAGAAGCCACGATGCATCTCAAAACCCCAAAGAAGGCTTTGTAATGTCATAGCAGAGGATAATCCTAGTCACATGCGGTTTAAAAGGCTGCCCATCAACTCGCGACCCCAAAATTGATCTTGCCAAGTGAAACAGCTAAGTGAAGGTTGCCCCATTTTACGACTTTTCTTGACACCGTTGTTAAGCGGATCACTGCAGTTGATAAGTTAGTCACCCGGCTGTTAAGTGAATCTGGCTTCCCCCATTGACTTTGCTCATCAGAAAGTCACAAAAGGGGATCACGGGACCCCGGGACACTGCCGTCCGTCGTAAGTACGAATCCGTTGCCGAGCGTCTGAATTTGGATCGCGTGACCCTGGGGAGGCCGCAAAGGTCGTTAACTGTGAAAAACGGTCAGAAGTCACTTTTTTCCAGTGCCGTTGTTAACTTTGAACGGTCATTAAATGAACAGTTGTAAGCCGAGGACTACCTTGTACTTCACATTAAGGCAGGGGTCTTCAAAGGTGGCCCTTTTATGACTTGTGGACTTCAACTCCCAGAATTCCTCAGCCAGCATGTCAAAGACATAAGATATGAGAAAAAAAAGATGCTGTTAAATGCTATGTTGTAGCTGCCATTAGATGGGTCCATAGTTGTTGACCTCCATCACTCAGGACAACTGTGGTCCACTGAAGCTTTATACCTGGGGTCTTCAAACTTGGCCCTTTTATGACTTGTGGACTTCAACTCCCAGAATTCCTCAGCCAGGCACGAGGAATTCTGGGAGTTGAAGTCCACAAGTCATAAAAGGGCCATGTTTGAAGACCCTTGCATTAAGGCAAAGAACTTTGGATCGCATACGGTCCTAGGGAAAACATAAAGTCCCGTGCAGGTGTGTCCATCAGCTGAAGCTTCTTTTTATTGTGCTGGCAGGTGGTGCTTATTACCTGATCTCACGGAGCTTAGGGCCTGAATTTGGGGGCTCCATCGGTCTCATCTTTGCCTTTGCCAACGCTGTGGCAGTGGCCATGTATGTGGTGGGCTTTGCCGAAACCGTTGTGGAACTCCTGAAGGTGAGCATCCTGGTTTGGAGGCGGCTGAATTTAAGGAAAACTGGTCCGTAGCTTTTCTTTGCCTACTGCGACGATCAGAAGTCTCATAAAAGACAAGACCGGAGTTCCTTCACCACGTTGTTTGTTCTGATTCGTACAGTTTTGCTTTCAAGGAAATGCTTCTTCTTCTTTTTTCCCCCAATATTTTATTAATTTTTCATAATCACAAATCCTTAATATTTTATCAGCAACGTATTGTCTGGGTTTCAGTATTTAGCTTACCAATTAAACTCCTTTCTCTCCACCTCGTTTTTCTAGCCATTGGTAAAATGTATCCCATGTTCTAAAGGAAAGGAACGGTTGCTGGAATTGGGTATGTCTAGTTTAGTGAAGAGAAGGACGAGGGGGGACACAATAGTAGTGTTCTAATATCTCAGGGGTTGCCCCAAAGAAGAGGGAGTCAAGCTATTCTCCAAAGCACCTGAAGTCAGGACAAGAAGCAACGGGTGGAAACTCATCAAGGAGAGAAGCAACCTAGAACTAAGGAGAAACTTCCTGACAGTTAGAACAATTAACCAGTGGAACAACCTGCCTCCAGAAGCGGTGAATGTTCCAACACTGGAAGTTTTTAAGAAGAGACTGGACGGCCATTTGTCTGAAATGGTATAGGGTTTCCTGCCTGAGCAGGGGGTTGGACTAGAAGACCTCCAAGGTCCCTTCCAACTTTTTTTTTATTTTATTGTTTTGTTTTTATTATTATTATTATTATTATTATTATTATTATTATTATTATTATTATTATTATTATTATTATTATTTGCTTCTGAAAGTACTGTAAATGTTTCAAAAACCGCTAAAGGGAATTAGGCTCAAAATAGACAGCCCATAACCTTGACAACTGAGGTCCAGGCAGGATATGAAACCCAAGACTCCTTACCCATGAAATGTAGAAACTCCCTTGTATTTTATGAGGCTTACTTGAATCGTCTTACAAAAAGTATATTCTTAATCATTACTTTCTCGCTGGTTTTTTTTTCCAGAACAGTAATGCCATCATGGTTGATGCAACCAATGACATCCGGATAATTGGCGTCATAACAGTTATACTTTTATTGGGCATTTCGGTGGCTGGTATGGAATGGGAAGCAAAGGTAATTTTTTTTTTAAGCATAAGAGTTTAGAAAAAAAACAAATAAAAAGCCACTCTGTCTTCTGGCGAGACTATTGTTGGATGTGAGCATTTATTTTTCACTTATTTTTCACTCGGATATATAGGCCCCGACTAAAGAATTATCCCAAACAAATCTATTATGAAAATGTTCTTTTTCTTTCCTTACAGGCCCAGGTGATTCTTCTAATTATCCTTCTGATTGCCATCGTAAATTTTTTCATTGGGACTGTTATCCCTAGCAATGCAGAAAAGAGGGCGAGAGGTTTTTTCAATTATCAAGGCAAGTGCTTCTAAGTGCTACGGGGCTTCAGAAGTCAAAAATCTGTCACGCTAAACAAGACTCACATTAATACGAAGTGGCAACTTGCAAGGGAGAGCTGCTGTAAATAACAATAAGAAAAGCAAGCCGTTACAGGTAGTCCTCAACTTACGACCGTTTGCTTAGTGACTGTTCGAAGTTACGATGGATACTGTAGGACAGTGATGGCGAACCTTTTAGAGACTGAGTGCCCAAAAACTGCCCCCACCCCCACTCTACCCCCTGCCCTGCCCCCACTCCGCCTCCACCCCGCCTGCCCACAGGGCCACTCACCACCTCCAGGGCCCATCGCCCAGGCAGCCCAGCAGTGCCATGGCGGCCACGCCCTCTGCCCGCACCCTGCAGCATCAACTGTGCATGATGTTGTGTGAGGGCAGAGTCTTGTCTATGCTGCCTGGCTGCCATGTCCTTGGCTGTGCTGCTCCGCATGGGCCACGCTCAGGGGCGACTCTCCTCCAGGGGGGCTGCTGGTGAGGAGGGGGTCATGGGGGGGAGGCAAGGCTGGGGCAATGGCACGTGTGCCCACAGAGAGGGCTCTGAATGCAGCCTCTGCCACCTGTGCCATAGGTTCGCCACCACTGCTGTAGGAGATGACCAGGTTCAGCCTGTGGGAGGGGTCAAATGTGTTATCAGTCTCAAGTCGCTTCGCGCTCACAAGAGATCTAAGTCCAGCCCACCTTGATTTCCACTGACTCTTATCTACTGCTAATTTGCTTTAACCGTTGGTAGTTCAGATTCTTATAGAGAGCATAAGCTTCCAATAAACCTTTGCATTCTTTTGAACCGCCCAGATTTTCTGATTTTCCCGTGCTTGACAGAGATATCTTCTTCAGACCTTTGCAGAATTGGACAAGAAGATTTTATGACAAATAGCCAATAACTTTCCACTGAATAATCTTAGTTCTACTCCTCCCAACTAGAGGCTTTTAAGAAGAGGCTGGACAGCCATTTGTCTGGAGTGGTACAGGGTCTCTTGTTTGAGCGGGGGGTTGGACTAGACAACCTCCAAGGTCCCTTCCAACTCTTGTTATTCCCTAGAATGGATTTTGGTGAAGGAGTCTATAGAAGAGAGGGAGAGAAATATAAAATCAGTCACAATGATTAAGATCTCTGGCATCTCTGGAACTTGAAAAGTTCACATCTTCCCTTACTTCTTGTGTGTTTGTTTGCAGCATCCATATTTGCAGAAAACCTCGGGCCAGAATTCAGAGGGGATGAAGGATTTTTCTCGGTGTTTGCCATTTTTTTCCCAGCGGCCACTGGCATTCTGGCAGGAGCCAACATCTCTGGAGACTTAGAGGTGTGTACATTTGAACAGTTAACCATAAAACCACAACGCTGTCACAATAATGTAGCCTTAGATAACCTCATGTCTTCTGGGGAAGAGCAGGAAGAGTTGAATATTAAAAATATTTTTAACACTGGAACAAAGAGCGAGATTCAAAGAATCCTTTCTGCAAGGAGAACATTTCGTATTGATTTGGAAAATGCTTTTTGCAAGAACTTGTCAAGTGTATAATTAGTAGATGCCACCCGAGAAATCCTTCTGGATGTACTTTCATCTTTTCACCTAATTTATTACTTTACATTCCGTTCTTGCTTTCCAACAGTCGGGATTCGATGGTAGAGGTAGGGAATCTGTGGACAATCAGACATTGTTGAACTCCGAGTCCCAATCCATTATAATAATGGTAAAAGATGATGGGATTCGGAGTCCAATGTCTATACTAGTGGTGCAGAATCATTGCCCCCCATGCCATAAGTGGCCACCAAAGGTTCTGCACCTGGCCCAAAACTCTTCTAAAAATTACCACCCAGTTACAATTGGAAGCCTACTAAAGGGTGCAGGAATTAAATACCTGACAAGTAAGCATTTGAATTAGATATAAATTAAATTGCATTAAATCTTGTCTTTGTTCTAACCCTCTCTTCTGTTCTGGCCATAGTTCCATTCATTGTAATCTTTTTACTGTAATATCCCAGGATCCCCAAGAAGCCATACCTAAAGGAACAATGCTTGCCATTCTGATCACCACCATTGCTTACATAGGAGTTGCAATCTGTGCAGGTAAGAAACCAACCCATTTGCATTCATATTCAGAGTGCTACTGTCAACGTATTTTAAATGAAAAGAAGGACGAGGGGTGACATGATAGCAGTATTCCAATATCTCAGGGGCTGCCACAAAGAAGAGGGAGTCAAGCTATTCTCCAAAGCACCTGAAGACAGGACAATGGATAGAAACTAATCAAGGAGAGAAGCAGCCTAGAACTAAGGAGAAACTTCCTGACAGTTAGAACAATTAACCAGTGGAACAACCTGCCTCCAGAAGTTGTGAATGCTCCAACACTGGAAGTTTTTAAGAAGAGACTGGACAGCCATTTGTCTGAAATGGTATAGGGTGTCCTGCCTGAGCAGGGGGTTGGACTAGAAGACCTCCAAGGTCCCTTCCAACTTTATTATTATTATTATTATTATTATTATTATTATTATTATTATTATTATTATTATTATTATTATTATTATTATTATATAAATCCCTTACACACATCACTCTCATTACAGCTAGCCCTTGACTTACTGTACAATGTTCTTTTAGTGACTGAACAACAACACTGAAAAAAATGACTTATGATCATTTTTCACACTGATGACCATTGCAGTGTCCCAGGGTCACGCGATCCCCTTTTGCAACCTTCTGACAAACCAAGTCAATGGGGGAAGTCGGATTCATTTCACAAGCTTGTGACTAACTTAACAACTGCAGTGATTCACTTGACGGCTGGGCCAAGAAAGGACGTAAAACGGGGCAAAACTCACTTCACAACTGTCTCACTTAGCAACAGAAATTAGGGTTTAATTGTGGTCATAAGTTAAGGACGACCCGTGTTTTTTGTTCCTGTGTGGAACTGCAGCCTAGTAGAACAGATGTGATTAAATAAAAAGGCAGCCTTAAACCTATTTCGACCTGTGTAGAAAGAATTCAGCTATGAATAGGAAATAGGTGGTTAGCCTGCTTAAAGAAATTCTGACATAGAGTTATTAAGATTAAGATTAAGATTAAATTGGATAGGAAGATGTGAAGAGAAGAGAAGAGAAGAGAAGAGAAGAGAAGAGAAGAGAAGAGAAGAGAAGAGAAGAGAAGAGAAGAGATGATGAGATGGAGAGATGATGAGATGAAGAGAAGAGATGATGAGATGAAGAAGAGAAGAGATGATGAGATGAAGAAGAGAAGAGTTGATGAGATGAAGAGAAGAGTTGATGAGATGAAGAGAAGAGATGAAGAGAAGAGAAGAGAAGAGATGATGAAATGAAGAGAAGAGATGATGAGATGAAAAGAGGAGATGATGAAGAAGAGAAGAGATAGATAAGCTTTATTGTCATTTTTTATTCACACTGGCCCACATCTGCTCCTTTTTCTGAGCCTCTTTCTTCAAGACGCTGCTCCCATTAGGGCAATAACCCACAGGTTGTCCACGTTGATATAAGACAAGAAGAAAATTTCTCTTCTGAGCACCTCACCAATTACTGTATTTGAAATTAAGTTTTTTATTCCTGTTTTGAGACAAAACACTCTCTTTCAAGGCCAGGAAAGGCTATGAGGCCCTGCGGGATTCCAGACACAAAATAAATCCTTTCTACCTCTAGGGAAAAGCCTAAGAAAAGTTGGAAACATGAGTTGGAACTTAAAAAGATACCCGGTGGAGGTGTTTATCAGACAAGGACAAAGGGTGCGTCTGTGGAAATGTCTTCCTGGCTTGATAGTCTCAATATTTTGCATGGCCTACAGACTGGACAGTCTTTCTGAAGCCCCAGTTCCCTCCTAAGCCTCCAGACCCATAGCAATAACAATAGCACTTAGACTTATATACCGCTCCACAGTGCAATTCAGAAATTTCTGGGTGGTTTACAGTCCAAGCGTTATTGGCCTATTTCTCCCAACAATCTGGGCCCTCATTTTACCAACCTGGGAAGGGTGGAAGGCTGAGTTCAACCTTGAATCCCGTCAGGATCGAACTCCAGGCTGTGGGCAGAATTAAGCTTGCAATACTG